CGCTGGTAGTCGCTGATCCAATCCGCTAGCGACTCGCCCTGCGGCGCCTGGGGCAGGTTGTCCGTGACGATTGTCTCCATGGCGGAGTCGAAGAAGGGGTCCTGCTGCTGCTGTCCGTCCATAATGGCCCCCATCAGGGGGAGCTGCCTGCGGAAGTTCTGGCTGCTAATCAGCGGCTCGTCGAAGAACTCCTGGACATGCTGCAGGTCCTGCTGCTGCGGCTGCATGTGGACCATCTTGTTGGGCAGGGCGGGCGCCAGGCAGCGTGCAAAGTCCTGGCCCCACTGCTCCGCCTGCTGCTGCATGTGCATGTGCTGCTGCTGTTGGGGATTACTCTGGATGTTGATGTCCCGCATCTCCTGGAGCAGCGTGTCCATCTGGAACGACTGCGGCGGGGCGGCCACCTGGCCCAGGAACTCGTTGATCAACTGGTCCTCGGGACGCGCTCCCCGCTCGAACTGGCGCTGTACATAGCCCTCATCCTTGTGGGCCACATCGCGGGTGAACTGGCCACCCAGCTGCATCAGCGGATTGACGCCGCCACAGTCGCCCTCGACCAGCGGGCGGAACGACATGGTGCTCGAGGTGGAGGTTGCTACGTAACTGGCGTAACCGGGCGATGATAAGATGCAAGCCACGGCAGGTCCACAACAAAGGTCCAAATGTCCACAATGATTAACTGTGTTGGTATCAGTGTTGGCAATTGAGCTATTTGGTAGCCAGGTTTTAAAGGGGTGTCGGTCGAAAATATATAATATATATTATTCTTATATATGTGACGGAATCGTAAAGGACAAGAACGCAAGCTAACACCTTAAACAAGACAATCAATTAATCTTTACATTTTGAAAAAAATATGAAATAAATAAATAAATATTTTTATCATCAAATTTTAAATATTTTAGCCAGATTTTGGAAACGTCAGTTGAAAGCACTGGTTTTTGGTTGTTGCATAGTGTTGCACAGTCTTTCAACACAAGTAAAACATAAAATAATATTAATAGGTATAACAAAATTTAAATTCAATATTATTTTCATTCATATGAATGTAACTTCACCAATTTTGTGAATAAAAATCATTTATTTAATTCAAATTCAAATGGAAGTCACTTTGCAACACTGCAAAATTCCCGCAATGCCGCGCATTTAGGAAATCCTCTGGGAGAATCGGATGATAAACTCAAATCCTCGCCTGCACCATGGACTACGACCTGTTCCAGTCGGATGACGACGAGGAGATTCTGATCGCCTTTACCCAGGCTACCCAAAAACTGCAGCAGGAATCCCTCGAAGGGCAAATGGAAGTGGACGATGCCGATGGGGACGAGGACTTGGATGAAGGACTGGACTTCCTGCCAGAGTTCTGCTGCAGCGGCCGAGACACGCTGAAGACCCAGTTGCCGGCCGAGAGTTTCCTGCGGAGTGGCTATGCCCAACTGGAGCCACCTTGTTGTCGACTGGACAACCTCTGCTTCGACTTTGCCCAGGAACAGTTGACGGTTGTCGCGGTCCGGAACTACCTATATGGCGAGGCCTGGTGAGTACTAATATCCTGCTCATCTTCAATGTGTAACCCATTCCTTCGCCAGCAAGAATGTGCAGAAGCTCTTTGCCGCCGTGGCAGGTCAGCAGCAATTGCAGGCCCCATCCACATCCATGAACTCCGGTTGGTTTCGAGTGCGTCAACAGGTCACCCACTTCTACCATCTGCTTCTCCGTCTGCGCGGAAACGACCTGCTGCCGGGTGCAGCGCAATTTATGGAGGATCTGCGTCGCTTGCTCAACAGTCAGCTAGATGCAGACGCCTGGAAGGTTTTACATTTTGCGGAGCACAGCAAGGGAAACGAGTGTCAGGCGCCGGCTTATCACCTGTACCACGGCATCCTGGAGTGGCGATTGTTGGACCTTCACATGCTATATCCCTCCTCTGGAGAGGATCAGGGCTTCCAGGGGCAGCTGGAGCGTACGCTGGACGATCTGATAGTGTGCGCCGGACACCATTACCGCGGCAAACACCGACCGGAGCTCATCCATGCTTCGCCGTTCATGTGCCGCTGCACCAAGGAGCTGTGGTTGCTGCTGAAGCATCTAATCCCCAAATGGCTGGGTGAGGGGGTCCTGGACTTTTGGACACTCTTCCACAAGGCCATGCAGAGGCATAGGACAAACTATTTCCAAGGTAAGTGGCGGATCTTGTGGTTTCGCTCCCTAAGCTTTGCTCTTTTTGTTCTCCTCCAGGTGAGAGCAATGCCGTTTCCCTGGTGTACCACGAGTTCTACGCCTGGCTGCGACTTGGTTTGGCCCGCTTGGACGAATATAACAATGAGGGCCAATACCAGCCGATGGGGCACACGCTCAACTCGCCACCTGGCAACTTTCGAACCGCCGATCTGCTGAAGCAATTCCTGGCCAGCCAGCCGGACGAGCAGCAGCGACGTGTCTACCTCTCGCTACTTTCGCCCCTGCAACTGCAACTTGGTCAGCCGGACACGGATGTACTGTGCCAGCTTTGGGAGTATTTGCATCGCTCCCTGAACTGCAACTTTAGTGCAGGATCAGAACTGGATGAGCTGCCGCTCACCTGTCCCAACGGTGCCGCCTACGTGGAGCGCTACAGCAAGCTGCTGGCCAGGTCCCAGTTGGAGGATCTGAATCTCAGCAGTTTCACCATGTACGCCTGGATGCTGGGCAGGACTTTGAAGCTGCTGCCGCGGCAGGGCCGGAGCAACCAGCGCCAGAAGCTGCTCGGTCGCATTTTCAGCAAGTTCAGTGCCGCAAAACTCTTGGCTCTCAATGAGCCCGGTATTCATCATGTTATCGAGCTGTTCCTCTGCCTTCTGCTCTCCCAGGAGGATCTCGGCGAGCTGACGCCCAAGCTGCGGGAAATGCTGCTCTGTTTGGCCCTGGACAAGCTGTCGCCGGTGCGAAGGACTCTGGTGGCCAAGGGCCACATGGCTCTGCTCCTCCTGCACGCCCAGCATCGCCTGTCCATGGAGGACTATGTGGCCAAGCTGCTCAACCAGTTGGCCACCATACGCAATGATACGGAGGTGGGCGCCATCTATGTGAGCAGCCTGCAGGCCGTCTTTGACCTGGCAGACGACTTTAATCGCGGCGAGCAGCAGTTACTGGGACCCTGGCTAACGCACTACGTGGAGAAGAGTGGTCAGGCATCGCAGGATCGCGTGTGGCAGGCCATTCACTCGCTAATCCTTCGTCTTGGCGAGCCGAGAGCAGTCACAGGCAATGCCAATGGCATCAGGGAGGCACTGCAACAGCACATTCTGCCCCTGCTGAGGATGCAGTACGTCAGTGGTCACAGTTCGTGGCTACCGAAACTTGCCGCCAGCTTTGTGGCGCTGGACAAGGATCGGGAAAAGCTTCTGCTGGGTTTCCTACAGGGACCGGAGCCCATTAACATGGCCGCGTCGGCACAGTTAATGCTCCAGGTGCTGGAAGATGACAAAGACGGCTGGCCAGCCAGCTCAACGATCCTTCAGGTATGGGTCAAGTCCCTGGTGCTCCTCAACGCGCAACATGACTCGGTGCTGGCCCTTACTCCCCATGTCACCCAGCTGGATGAGTTCCGACAGCTGGCCATTGATCCCGCCGCCCTGGAAAGTGGCCGCGAGCCACTGTGCGCCTTTTTCGGAGCTCTGGGTAGGCGTGCCCAGCAGGAGGAGGCCGCGGCCCACGTGCGCATGCAGTTGAGCCACAAACTACACGCCTATGTGAATCACTTCGAGATGTGGCTGCCTCCGGATCGCCTGCGTTCCGAATTGGGCACCCGCTTCTTCAGCTTCCTGGCCATCGTCATCTACAACTGCCCCACGCTGGCGTATGTGCGCTCAAAGCCCAGCTGCTTCTTCCACCTGGCCATGGTGCGGTTCCTGCTCACCACGCAACTGCAGGCGGGCGTGCCGCCCGAGAGTCGCCTGCCGCAGATGGTGCACAAGATCTTCCCGGTGCTGCTGCAGGGGATTGGTCGTCTGGCCTACCGCACGGACACCTACGTGGCCAGGACTCTGGAGCAACTGGTGCAGCACTGGACGCCGCACTTTAGCTTTTCGCCCAGCGCCAAGCTGGTGGCCCGCCCCTATGCCACGCTCCTCCAGGCTGATGTGGATAGCGAGCTGGCGCAGCATGTGCTTCAGCTCCTGGTGGCGCAGTTTCTGGTGGTGCAGCGTCGAAAGGCGGGCCAGCATGCGGGTCTGGTGATCACCATCGTGCAGCAGCTGATCGAGGCCACGCCCGCGGAGCAGGAACAGCAGCTGGTGACCGTGCTGCGCGGCGTCCACATCCCTCTGCTGGAGCACGTGATGTTCGTGGACGAACTGGACCTTAGTCGCGGCCAGGTGTTTGGACTCTATCGTGTGCTGGTTTCCCACGAGGCCTTCAAGCGCTCACAGGCTGTCAGGGATATGTGCTCCAATCATTTGCTATCGCTGGCCGAGAAGCACATGGCCCACTGCACCTACTTCTTCTTTCAGATGCTGATCAAGCTTGGAGAGCTGGCGCCGGATATGGTGACTCCCCTTCTACCTTTAGTGAGGGAGCAGGCCAAGCAGGTGGAGCTAAAGCGCGGCGCTGGCGAGGATGTGGGCATACGCAAGTGTCTACAGCGATTACAGAAGGTTTTAGATCTACTTTAAGGCCGAGTGTTAGGTTAAACCCGTAATCCGTATATAGTTTGTAACTCTAGGTAATAGTTATTAGCAAATATACATAAATTGTTTTTATGAAAATTTCTTAACGTTTATTTCCGTAGAGGAATTATAGTAAATTATACCTAAAATATATTTTTCTTTGCAAAATTTCCACCACTCATTGATTAAATTAAAAAACCTAGCGTTAATGTACGGCGTGCTATACTTATTAACAAATATAAATTGTGTTTATAAATATTTTGTTAACGATTTTGGCTAAATGAGCTTTTATTTTTTTTCATTTTTCTTTTGCAAAGGTTCCACCCAGCCTTGATTTAATTAAGAAACCCAGCATTGAAGTTTAGCATTCTATAAAAGCGTTATTATTCAGTCGAGGGTCTCAATAATCCTTCTTCTCTGGTGATTTACTTCAAGGTGTGACAAAAGATTTCACCAATGCTTGATAAAATCAAGGATATAACCTATGGCATTTTATAAAAATGTTATTATTTCAGTCGGGAGTCTCAATGATCCTCCTACTCCGGAGATTTACTTTATGGTGTGACAATAATTAACATGGTAGTTTACACAATTACTTGATCTGAGCTTACGGATTAACTTTAAGGCTTGGCAATAGATATAGATACACTATGATTGCTTCTCATCCTGGCAGTTCGGCGTGGGTCACTTGGCCTTGGCGACTAGACCACATTCTTGGCATCCCGCGGGATGCGATTGGTAAGCAATGCGGCGGGCATAAAGCCGGAGTCGCCCAGGTACTTGATAGACACATTGCCCGACGGACTGATGGTCAGCCAGGTGATGGAGGCGTGGTTGATGCTGATGCGCAGCCAGCCCTCGGCGGGAAATTGTAGGGCGCGGCAGACGAAGTACCGGATCACGTTGCCGTGGCCCACGATCAGGGTGTAGCTCTCCTTGTCCTGGTCGGGATAGGCACGGTGGAAGTATCGCCGGAAAGCGGCCTCGATGCGCGATCCGTCGCGTAGGAACTGCTGCAAGGAAATGAAAGCAGAAATGAGAAGGAAGATTGGCTGGCTGTGTATGGGCTGGCGCTCGCTGACTTACAGATGCCTCCGGCTTCCAGTGGCCCACCGGGGGCTGGGGCGGAATGGGCGCTCCCTCGCGCAGAAAGGCACAGTTCACTACCTTCTCCTTGTCGTAGTCGATCTGCTTGAGTATGATGTCCGAGGTCTCCTGGGCCCGCACCATCGTGGAGGCCACCACCTTGTCCCACTTGATGCCAAGCTCGCACAGTCGTTTGCCAGTGTACTCCGCCTGCTTGCGACCGCGCTCCGTGAGATGGTGGGTGGCATCCGAGTCGCCCACGTCCAGGTACTCGCCGTGCCGCACGAGAATTATATGGCGCGGCTTCTTGGCCTTGGCCTTTTCCAGGTCAGCATTGTAGCGGTTCTCCTCCTCCGGCTGATTGTTTCGCAGCGGACGGACCAGGGCCCTCGGCTCCCGGCAATCCCAATTGCTGTCCCAAAGGGCCCACGGATCCACCGGCTTGTCGCTGTGCGTCCACGAGTTTTGGACCGCCGTCTGCGGGTCGCGCAGCCGCTGCAAGTAGTACGCCACCAATCCGGCTCCTGTGCCGCACAAGAAGCTGGTTATCTTTCGCATCTTATGTGGATTCCGTATCCGGTTCTTTAACTTATCCTATTTTATCTTCTTCTCTCTTCTTTATTTGTTATTCCGCTGAATAAGTAGTGCGGTATTTAATTATTGTGCTTTTGGTATTTTCGCGATTAAGCTAAGTGGTATTTAATTAGTGGTATTTAATTGTAAATACCTAGTAATGGTATTTTGACATTCTCTATTCATATATTATTTTTTATTAATATTATTTATTATTTGTAACTAGTCGCTACATTTATAGATTTATATCTTACTGTTAGAAAAAGTGTATAACATTAACCAAAGTCAGTATATAATTGTTAGAAGATCTCAAATATAAGTTTATTTAATGGAATTTGCAAGATATATATTTATGGGGTTATGACACTACATTGTTTGACTCATTCATTGCTCATTTTGTGGTTTATCTATACGATTTTACGTAAGTGCGAGCAAGACAACATATGACGATTCCAATGAGCAATGAGTGAAGAAAATTGTCATTGTTCATTCTTATGGCAGTGTATTTATAGTATATAACGCAGGATTATATGGCTAAATGATTCTTGAAAGATCTATTAATCTTAAGTCATGTATTAAATATATTTAAATATTTCCAAAAATGTTGGCAAAAACACATTAAGTCTGCAATTTATTTCATGTTATGTATAAGAATTTACTTATGTATAAGAATTTGCTTCTATTTAATTCAGTTGACAAATTTACCCGAATTTAAATTTAGCGGGTTTATTTGGATAACAAAGAATTCCTAAATAAATACCAAATAAACACTGTAAATCGAAACAGGCACTCCTTAAAAACAATCGAAACGACCATCTGGCCATCTGGCAACGCTGTGGTGTGAAAAATTGCAATTTTTTTCATTTCACACACACAGAGACGCGACACACACGCAAGCAGCGCAACGAAGGACCAACAAAAAGGCCGCAGAAAAACGCCCAAATAAGCCGAGGAGCTACGGAAAAGGATATCTAAAGGATACACCCGTATTGGGAACGCCGAAAAGGAGGAACACAGCGCCGACATTCCAGCGAAGCAGCAAGAAGCAGCGGCGGAAGAAGAAGCAGCAGCAGAGGCGGGGGCAAGAAGAAGAAGAAGAGGAAGAAGCCGATTCCATCGACTCGACGTTTATCAATTATGAATTTCCTGGGTTTCGGCCAGTCAGCGGACATTGAGATAGTCTTCGATGGAGCGGAGCACAAGACCGCCGAGGTCAAAGGGGAGGACGGCAAGGTGGAGAAGATGCTGCTCTTCTACGACGGAGAGACGGTATCCGGCAAGGTGCGTTTCCAGCAGGGGGAGTTCCCTTTTAATCTTTGCCAGATATATTAAAACCACCCCCTATTCTTTCAGGTGAACGTGACACTCAAGAAGCCCGGCAGCAAGCTGGAGCACCAGGGCATCAAGATCGAGTTCATCGGCCAAATCGAGCTGTTCTACGACCGAGGAAACCATCATGAATTCAAATGTCTGGCCAAGGCACTGGCCCGTCCCGGCGATCTCATCCAGAACAACAGCTACCCCTTCGACTTTCCCAACGTGGAGAAGCAGTTCGAGGTGTATGCTGGATCGAATGTGCGCCTGCGGTACTTCCTGCGCGCCACCATCGTCCGTCGGATCAGCGACATCACCAAGGAGGTGGATATCGCCGTGCACACGCTGTGCAGCTACCCGGAGATGAACAACCCCATCAAGATGGAGGTGGGCATCGAGGACTGCCTGCACATCGAGTTCGAGTACAACAAGAGCAAGTACCACCTGCGGGACACGATCATCGGCAAGATCTACTTTCTGCTGGTGCGCATCAAGATCAAGCACATGGAGATCGCGATCATCAAGCGCGAGAGCACGGGCACAGGTCCCACGATGTTCAACGAGAACGAGACGATCGCCAAGTACGAGATCATGGACGGGGCGCCCGTCAAGGGCGAAAGCATACCCATCCGGGTCTTCCTCGCCGGTTACAATCTCACGCCCACCATGCGGGACATCAACAAGAAGTTCTCCGTCAAGTATTTCCTCAACCTGGTTCTAATGGACACCGAGGACCGGCGCTACTTCAAGCAGCAGGAGATCACGCTGTGGCGCAAGGCGGACATTCCGCGCTACCACGGAGCTCAGCAGCAGCAACAGCAGCATCAGCAGCACCAGCACGTCCCGCTGCACGCTCCGCCGCATCTGGTCAGCGGCCCGGCGGCGCCCACGGTGGCTCACTCTCTGATCAGCTCCAGCACGGACAGCGGGGAGGCGGGCGGAGCTCCTCCGGCAGCGCCAGGCACTGCGGGTTCCGAGTCCAAGATGGGTCTGTTCACCAGAGAGAGCCCCAACCAGGAGTTCAGCCAGCAGCAGATGGACTCGCCGCCGCTGACGCCCACTCCCGCATCAGTTCCAGTCACCATGCCTACGCCTACGCCGGCGTCAGCATCTGCTCTAGAACCGACTCCCGAACGGGGAATGGGCGATGGAGCCGCCGCGGCCACCACAAGTGCCTCGCCCGTTGCCATGCTCTCCAGTTCGCCGCCGCCATTGCTGCCAGCATCGCCGCTCTCCCGTTCCGATGGCGATTCCTCGGAGCTGGTTCCGGTGCAGCCAGAGGATGATCCGCAGGCCGGAGACACAGTAACGGCATCGGGAGCTGCGAAAAAGGCCAGCGTTACGCCCTTGGCCGCCGATTGAGTGAAAATCTGGAGAGCATCTCCATCATAAGCAGCATAAACAGCAGGCGGAACTATTACGCATATAATCGTATACAGCAGAGGAGCAGTAGCAGCAACAAATATGCATATATCTATTTTTTTAAAGTTAATTTAAAATTGTTACAAAATGTTTTATTGAGGTTATGCGCATCATTTACCAAAAGCAAGCAAAACGCAAATGATAGTAACGAAAAACAAACGAAAAACGAAACCTAGGACAAATGAGACACAGGAGGCGATCTCTAGGCGTTTCCGTTGGTAGTATTGCTAAAGAAAACCAGGAAGAGATGGCGAAGGACTCCGAACCTAAACCCAAATCCTAAAACTAGTTAAACCCCCTAGTATTCAGATGACCATTCCCTATCCTCGGGGCGTTTGGAAAATATGATTTTTCCATTTGAAAAATGTTGAAATTACTTTCTAAAAGTGAGAATCCCTGAAATTGAAATCAAAGTGTGCATTAAACTAACAAACTCCAATACAGATAAAAGCAACAAGCTAACAAAAAACAAGACAAAACACCCATTAAATAATAAAGTTTTAGTCTATAGCGTACTAACGAATCGATGCTGGGAAGGTTCTGATTATGACCGGACTCTCCGGAGGATCGGAAAACATGTTACATGCCTTGCATATGTACATAACACAGTTCATATACATAAAATACACGAAATATTGAAATATATATACACTTAGAAACGCAATTAAACGAATAAAAGCGACTCGAACGCCAAACACGAAACAAACAGAGAGAGAAATAAGCATGGATTGTGTGTCAAGTACAATGCGTTTCAAATATATAAGCGGATCGAGGGTTATTTAATATAACTTTACTGGGACCTACCGATTCTTGTCCCTAATAACAGTAATCCTATTTTCATTAATCACTAAGTAGCTAAAAACAATCTCTTGGGAAACATCAAAGTTATGATTATTTTTTCAAATCGTATCGTTCCTATAGCAGCTATGGAAAGATGCTTGAGCAAAATGGATTTAATACCTGAATATTAGGAAGAATAGAAAGATTTGACCACTTTTCAGTGGATAGCGTTTAAGTTATGTAAAAAGTGGGTTTATATCGACTTTACAGATTAAAGGGAAAATACATAGTAAAACTGAATCAGAATATTCATATAAAATTTATAAGCTACCATGTTAAAGGAATTCTAAATCAGGATGTTCAACAATGATATGCACTCCTCCAAATGGATTTTATACCTGAATATTAGATATGATCAGTTTTCGGTTGGTTGTTTTTCAGCTAAGTAATAAATGGACATGGTTCTGCCTTATATTAGTAGTTACAAAGATACAGAAAATCTGTTTAACAAGTGGCGAAGTCCATCTTGACAGATTATTAAAAAAATATAGTAAATCTGAATCATACATATAAGCATTATAGGCTACCATGGGGAATATCTAACAGAATAAAAGGATAATGGAAATATGAATAACTGATTGAAATGCACTTCTCCATTGGACATTACATAATTTATATAAAATCTATATTTATTTTACAAGTAACGCAGGTTTAACAGGCGAAGCAGGGGAAGAGGCTAGTCCCAGGCCTCCTTGATCTTTAGCTGGTTCAGCCGCTCCTCGATGGTTACGTGGGGCTTCATCTTGCTCAGCGTCTGCTCCTGCGTCCACTTGGCCACCAGCTTCTCGCGCTTCTGTAGCTCCTTGGCGTGTCCGGCGGACTGTTCCTGTTGGCGAAAAGAGGGTGTGTGGGTCAGGTCAGGTGGTTCGTCTACACATATATGTCCAAGGGACAGCACTCACCAGGGTCAGATACGGATGCCGGAGGAGCAACATCACCTGCTCCTGACGCTCGTACTCGCGAGTCAGTGTGTCCATCGCACGCTGGCTCACCGGCTTTACCAGGCGCCGCTTGCCCCGAAATATGTGACCTGGAACGGTCTTCTTAAACAGGTTGATCAGCGTTATATGCATTTTGTTTGCTCAATTTGCTAAAACAATACAATAAATCTGGTTAATGTTGTTTAATTTTCAGTTGCACAAGATTGGCTGTTGCAAGTGTGACCGAAGTAGGGCGATATACCAAATTCGCGCTTGAAACAGAGAACCGTCGACTATGCGAACTGCAAGAGTGAACTATTTATACTTCAATTCGAAAATATAAAAACTATTTACAAACATTTAGAATGGACAACAGGTAATTGTAGTTATCCTTTATTTTTTGTTACAAAACTGATGAAAATTATTCTATTCAGTGCACTAAATCGAGTGAATACTTTTAGCTTACGCCATGTGGTCACACCTTTGAACTTTGCGTCACCTGGTCACACTTGAACAGACCGCGCACGTGTAAACTGAAAATAAAAACACCGGGAAATAACTAAGAATTATAAGCTAAAAATGGGAGACGCCGTGGAGGGTTTGTTTATAAGCACGGCCAGCGAGGACAACACCACGTGCACTGTGCAGGACCTCCGGACGGGCACCGACCTGATGCGCTACAAGGGCGGCGGATGTGCCCAACACCACGGCCTGGCGACGATTCGCCTCAACTACGTTTTTGCGGCCAACTCGGCGAAGCCCCTGCTCCACGTCTGGCCCATTAACAAGCAGGAACAGATGGCCGGGCTGCGGTTCGTAGTGCCCGGCAAGGTAAACGCCCTAGCCCTCACTCCAGATGGGAACTTCCTAGTGGCCGGCATCCAGGAGATCATCTATCTGTGGCACCTCAACTCCGGCCGAATGCTGAACACCCTGTCCAAGCACTACCAGGCCGTGACCTGTCTGCGCTTCACGGACAACGGCGAGCACTTCATCAGCGGCGGCAAGGACGGAGCCGTTCTGGTCTGGGACCTGACCTTCTCGGCCGCCCCACTGGACATGGCCGGCGGCAAGGACAGCACGGAACCGCTGTACAGCTTCAATGACCACGGCCTGGCCGTTACGGATCTGTACGCGGGCATCGGCGGCCTGCGCTCCTACCTGTACACGGTCTCGCTGGATCGCTGCTGCAAGGTGTACGACCTGTGCGGAGGCATCCTGCTGCTCAGCGTGGTGTTCCCAGTGGCCCTGCACAGCGTGATTGTCAACAAGATGGAAACAAAGGTGTATGTGGGCTCCGGCGACGGCAAGGTGTTTACCTTCCACATGGACAAGGCGCCGCGCATGAAGGTGGGCTCGATTCTTCTGCATCTACTCCCCAACTTTACTAACTAATTTCCTTGCTTCCCTAGGAGTACCACTTGGAAGAGGAGGAGATTCAGGCCTTTGTGGGCCACACCGCCGGCAAGGCCATCACCTGCCTGGCCCTGAATTTAAGCGCCACTTCGCTGGTCTCCGGCGGCGAAGACAACCAGGTGTGCGTCTGGGACGTGGACAGCCGGCAGCTAATCAAGAGCCTTCCCCAGAACGGCTCGGTCACGAACCTGCGCATCTACCTGCTCAGTCCCTCCATCTTTCTGCCGGAGCACAAGCAGCCGCAGCTATTCGCAGACAGCCTGAAGCGGATGATCAGTCCGCGGGACGAGTTGGATGGCATCGATCTGCTAGTCGATGAGGAGTATCACGAGGGACGTAAGACACCAGAAATGGATTTTACCCAGAGTTATCCGGGTACGGATGCAGAGATCATACGCAAACTAATAGCGGACATGAATACGGGAAAGGATGAAGAGGGCGAAGCGGAGAAAGGGGAATCCGAAGTGGAAGAAGATCGATCGGAGCCAGAGGTAGCGGAATCTGAAGCAGAGGAAGAGGTTGAATCCGGTGCGGATGAGATCCCCGATGTGGAAGTGTCTAGGGAAGATTTCGAGACCGCGTTGGCGGATTCTAATGATGACGACGACACACCGAGCAACTCAAAGGCAAACGGCGTGGATGTGCAGAAGCTGCTGGCGGAGAATGCCCGCCTCAAGGAGGAGTCCAAGCGCATGTTCGAGATCATGTTCAAGTTCATCTCCAGTGATGGCGCAGCCTCCTCCGGAAAGCCGAAGCGCAAGAAGCCGAGACAGAACCAGTGAGCCCTAGTCTTTATCTGCCTTCAATTACGTTTACTTAGGTTTAGAATCAATAATACATGATAATAGAAAAAAACAAAACAACACAGATGTGTAGAAACGATTAGGTGATCAAAACAATAACTGGTTGCAGGTGGTACATATGTATCTACTTGGATGCATTCTCACTGGCCGACTGGCCATCGCTGTCCATGTTTTCGTCCTCCGGTTCCCCCGTAGCGTGGTCCTTCTCTTCGGCGAGCAGGCGACGAATCTCCCGATTTGAGTTGAGCAGCTCCCGCAACTGGGACATGATGTCGTCCGTGCGCTGCTCCACGGCGTCCAAAGCGCAGCTGAGGGCGTCCAGGCTGTTGTTCACGTCCTCCATTTCTGCAGGGGTCATGCCATGCCATTAGAGCCAATCCCCTCGAGAACCAGAACCGAAGCGCCAGCGCGACTCACCTTGGAGGTCCGCCTCCTGGACATTGCTGTTGCCCGAGTCACCGGATGATGACGACGGATCGTGGTTGTTCTTGGGTGACATTCTCCCCGGACTTTTCTCCGGATTTTCCCCGTTTGTTTTTTCCAGTTGACTTTATTGTCACGGGATAGCTATAAACGCTAGAGATGGACGACTGTACAGCGTTGCAAAGGAAATGATAACTACGATTTCCAATTGGAAATATCAGGGGTATTCGAGTCATTTATAGATTACTGCGTGTTTGTTTTGTATTTGCCTTATGCCCATCTCTGATCTGCGCTAGGCTTCCAACAAACGCTAAGGATGGGCGAGTACAAGTATATTTCAGTACTCCAAAAACAAATACAAAGAACTTTCGTGATTTTTCGTGCCTGGCGTACCAAATTCGAGTCACGAGCAAAGAAAAATACAGTTTACCCATCTCTATTAGGCGCTAAGTAGAAAAGCAACGGTTTTTTTCCAAGACGCCGAGCTCCTATTGCTCAATGGGTGAGGGGAAACATGCACTTGGCTGCCATTTTGAACAAAACAACCGTTATAGATACATCCAAAAATACCAGCTGTTGCCTGCTACTGATTATGTTTGCCTGGTGTCTTTAATCCAGAAGTCGATGAATTTTAATGGGCCAGATTTTGGCGGCGATGCGTTTTGTCAAGCAAATTGTGAGATTTTCGTTTTTAGCCACCAGGCAAACAGAAACCTCCAGCAGGAGTCCAAGCAGCAATTTTGTCGCTTTGCTAGGGATGAGCGCGTATAAATTTATTTCATTACTACAATAACAAATACAAGGGGATTTCGTGACTTTTCGTGCCTGGCGTGCCAAGTTCGTGACACGAACAAAGAAACAATCAGTTTACCCATCACTATTATGCGCTAAGTTGAGAAGAAACGGTTGTTTTCCAGAACGCCAATCTCCTATTGGTCAATCGATGAAGGGAAAATGCACTTGGCGACCATTATGAAAAAAAAACCGTTATAGATGCAGCTAAAAATTACCAGCTGTTGCTTGCTACAGATTATGTTTGCCTGGTCCCTAAATCCAGAAATCTAGGATTTTGAGTAAGCCAGAGTTTTGCGGCGGTGCATTTTGTAAAGGAAATTGTGAGATTTCTGATTTCAACTACAAGGCGAACAGAGATCACCAGCAGGTGTTCAACTAACAATTGTTTCGTTTTTGTTTCTGACCAAAATTATCAGCTGTAACATGCTGCGGATTATGTTCGCCTGGTGCGTAAAATTTTGAATTGTGAATTTGGTGTGAAAAAGTTGTGGGTTTTGTTTTTGTTAGTCCTCGTAACAGTCGCTCTTTTCATTGTGGGTTTTTTTTAGTTGAAAGTGAAAATGTAAGCAATAAACATTTTTGCTGTCTTTTGTTACTTTTTGGCGGCCAAATTGGCACAGTTTAATCAATTTTTAGCCGCAAAATATCTAAACAAATTTGACATTGAATTTTAAAATATTTTCGGTTTAAATAGGAACAACTCACTGGAATCCCCACAATGTTTTTCTGTTAATGTTCTGGGTATGTTTCTGCGCTTCAACGGGCCACACTGGTCACCTGACATAACAACATTAGACCAATCGAAATGAACAAATGTTTTAGATACCAGCCCCGGATTTTGCTTTCCCAACTTAGCGTAAGTCTATTAAGTTCACCCCAGAGGGATATTTGATTTACGAATTTTGGGATAACACACAGCTGCCGCGATGTTATGCCGCAGTTCAAACGGAACCACCGTCGCCGGGACAAAAGAAGACCGTAGTGGTGGGTCTGAGCGAGAAACCCGATCCCAAATCGGTCAAGTGCGACTACATAGGACCGCCGGACGCCCAGTCCAATCTCCGGCCGTATGTGCGGCACTACGACGACGATGAGACGCGGCTGGCCCGGAATCTGCGGCTCAAGCGGATCGAGGTGGAGGCGTGGAACACGGACTTCTGGACGCGGCACAACAAGCGTTTCTACGAGGTGAGATCTCAGAATCTTTTTTTCCAGTTAAAAAACGCAAACATTTACTGATCTCCATCGGTAAGAAATAGTTATTCGGAGTAAAAATTAATTGATCCGCAATGGCAGGTGGTCGGGCTCGTTAGCAGTCTGAAACAGTCGTTTACTTCACTGTGATTCCTATTTTAGGCAAGTTATTCTACGAAAACACTTTTTGGAGTAATTAATTTGATAGTGTGTTTGCAGAATATCTTTTATAATATACGACCACTGTGAAAAGGCCAATTGTTTTGAATTGTTGAGAACATAAGAACCTAGGAGGATCTCATCACCTTTTTTCTTAATCCGTCCTAAAAATTGATGCTCAAGAATCAATTTTCTTATAGAAATTGAAACCTAACAAAAATTTGATGGTGATCGATATCTTTGGTTATTAGGAATCTGTAAAGGTCATTGAAAAAAATCGTTAGCGTTTTGACAGGATTGTTAATTGACTTTGTTAAATCGCCATCTCTTTCTAATGCCCTCCCATCTACCTTTGCCATCTCTTTCGATTTCGGTGTGACCAGGAGAAGGAGGACTTCATGCGTCTGCACAAGGAGAGTGGAACTGAGGATGTCTCCGCGGATCAGATGAGCCACTTCTACAAGGCGTTCCTCGACAAGAACTGGCGCATCCACATGATGTACAACCTGTCCTGGTACCTCAAGAACTTTGATATCCTCACCCTGGCGGCCGGAGTCCAGCTCCAGAGGCTTCTCGCTCTGGCCAAGCGGAAAACTTGAGCTTAAATCCCCAATAATCCTTACCATTAGTTGAGAAATAAAACAATTTGTGTGTAAAATGGTGGCATAAAATTTACTTAACTATTTAAGGGGATGAAAAATACACGTTGCTTGGAGTTTGGATAAATGTACTTAAAGTTAATTGCAAAACTAGTTAAATAAAATAAAATAAAAATAGGTTTTGTATATATCCTTATTGGCGTATATGTATATTCAAAGAAGGGTTGTACATGTATGCGAATATCGAAAAATAGCCACTACAAATATGATAATAATGATATAATGGTAAACAGAGGGGAAGAAGGCACACACGCATAAAGTCAAGTTTTGGGTTGGCCATCTGTTGGGGATCTGTTTGTTTTTCCTCATGATGGATTTGGGTGTGGATTTGGTGGAGATGGTGCTAAGACAAAAAAAAAAAATAAAATAAGATGCTCCTCTGCGACTGTGTGGGGTCAAGGGGGTCAAGGGTCAAGGTCAAAAGTCAGAAATACATTACAGGGGGCCTAGCGGTCATGTCCTAGCATTAACATTTATATTCTCTCTATATATATAGAAACGATAGCAATCATTCAATTTAAACTATGAAACACTCCACTCTCCCTCCACTTCTCCACCTACGAGCGATATTTGTGGGACACGGGATACGAATTAGCTACAGTGGGCACATATACATAACTTACAGGGTTCTCTATGCTCGCCAATGGAGCATATCGGCATATATATATATATATATATATATATATGCAGATATATATATATATATATAATTGTATGTATGTACACGGTGTCTAAACTGCTCAGCGAATCTATCTAATTGATCAGATATAACAATTCCTGTTCCGATTCCTGTTTCTGTTTCTATTCCTGTTCCTATTCCTATTCCGGTTCACTGGGAGCGGCGCACACGCCGCCGCTTCTTGCGCCTGCTCTGCTCCTCCGGCAGAGGCTCCGGCTCCTCCCGACTCTAGTTCATCCACTTGCGGCAGTTGGGCGCTCCGCAGGCACAAGGTATTTTATGCGACTCATCCTCGATGTCGAACTTGTAATCGTAGGATAGCTGAAATATGGAATTAGTGATTACAATCCTATCGTTTAAATCGCCACTCGCTCAACCCACCTCCTCGCCGCGATAGATCTTCCGCTTGGCGAATATTATGATCCGCACATCGCGATCCACCTCCACGATCTCCGTCACGCAGTTGGGATTGCACGAGTGGTTAATGTAGCGCGCCAGGCCGCCGCTCAGAGTGGCATCCACCACGCGGTCCTCGTCCAGCCGGAACATGTAGATGCCGCGGTTCTGTGGGATCACATCAGATCAGTTAAGTAATTAGTCATTAGTTAGCCTGGTCATCTCAAGTGATCAAAACCAGAGCCCTAGAACTGACTTGAATCTTAAAATCACGTTTAGAGATTATATTACTTTAAATTGTAGTCTTGTCTCGCTTGACTTGAATTTGTTTTTTTTTTTTTTTTCAAGTTAAAGTGAGATTTTAAATTAACTTATTTTTCAAGTTAAAGTGAATGTGATTTTAAAAGGCCCTTGATTCAAAACCCACCTTGGACTCGTACTGCTTCTCGCGTATCTCGGAGACCTCGGTGCGGATGACCTCGCCGATGTACTCGATGATCATGGTGTGCTTCTCAATGTCCCGCGCGGCATAAAGACCCAATCCTTGGATCTTGGACCTGGAAAAGGAGCGGTAAAAGGGGGGTAACATGAGCAATCAGGGGACACTAAAAGGTGGCATAAGAATAGCTGACCTGGCCAAATACACGTTGTTGCGCCACTCCTGCTTCATCTTCTTGTACTGGGAACTCTTGGAGTGGACGAACTGCTTGCTGTAGGGACAGGCCACCTCGCCGGCGATGGCCGCCGAGTTGGCCATCCGCTGGGTGCTGCAGCTCCCCGCCGTGCGCTGGGTGTGCGGCTTCCGCCAGACGAGCAGCTGGCGCTGCTTGGGCTCCGTGCGCGCCGCTCCGGACGGATTGATGGCCAGCGGGAACTCCAGCAGCGGATTGCGGCCGTACTTGAAGCGGTAGTCGGTGAGCGTCTCGATGCCGGGCAGGCTCTCCAAGATGCGTACGATCGCGGGCTCCGTCAGGCCGAACAGATCCTCGCCGCTGATGTGCTGCGGGAAGAGCTGCAGCCACTTGTGCACCTTGCGCAGTCGCGTGATCTGCTGCAGGATCTGCTGCCACACCGCCGAGGGAGTGCTGTCGCGGAACTCGCGCTCCGGCTCCTTGCTGTCGCCGGCGTCCTGCACCAGGATGCGGAACTCCGGTTTGCAGCCGGCCTCCGCAATGCTGCAGATGTAGCGACACCTGCGATTCGGTCGACGTACGCACCAGTAGTAGCGACTCTGGGGGAGGAAATTGGTATTATAGTTGCAGTCTGGCCACTTTAGCCCTTTTAAATAGTCTATAGCCATATATACATATATCCATATATACAGCTACCTTTTGAACATTTTTAAAAGGAAAAAAAAAGTAATACTTTAAACTAACTCGGACTAATATTCATTACTTCATTTAATGTAAATTTTAAACTTTACAAGATTTCTAAAGTAGCATGTTGGTTAAACAAAAATTGTTTGACTTTTTTAATTTTAAAACTAATTTAGATAATAAAAAAAAAACAATTTTCTCAAAGTTCTATATATATTCTGCGAATTGTAAATTTTTATATGTTTCAGTTGTGGTACTTAATTAAATTTGCTTGAAAGCCAACACATATTTGTATCGTATATATGAAAAACAAAGCCATTGCCTAAAATGTTCATCATTTCCGATTTATAAGTACTATTATTTAAAGACCTATTTGCTTGTCTTCAGTAACTAATCTTAATTTGTAGCCTAATTTAGACTATTCCATAATCCATAATCTGGGGAAAAACGAAGGGACAGGGATAATACTCACCACCTTGTAGCCAATGGGGTAGATGTAGTGGGGCGTGTGGAAGGCCTCCAGCTGGTGGGGCAGCAGCTGACCCACATTCAGGAAGGTCATGTTGCCCACGCGCAGCAGGTTGCTCAGCTCCGAGTAGTGCATGACGGTGGCCACCTGCCGGTTCTCGTCGCGATCCACGAACACCCTCCGATGGACGACCAGCGAGCCCAGTTCGTTCTCCGCCGTGGAGCCAGCTCCCAATCCTCCGCCGCCACCAACTGTAGATCCCGCCCCCGATCCCCCGCTGGCTACGCCACCAGAGTGGGCATGGCCATGGGCACTGCAGTGCACAGACTTGTTCTTGTAGAAGACACACTCCTCTCGGATGGCGCAGGGCAGGTGGTACAGGCTGTTGCAGCGCGACTTGAAGCACTTGATGGTGGCGCCCAGTTGGTGGCACGAGCTGCACGCCTGGTTCAAACCCGCCTGCAGAGCCGTCTGGAAGTTCATCAGTGCCCCGGAGACGGTCTCGTAGACACCATTGGACCATAGGGCACAGTTCAGGTGAACCTAGGATGCAAGGCGATTGAAAAACAAGTTACTTAGCAGACCAATTTAAAACAATTTAGATGCATGTCAAATGCCGCATTTCTGACATGGACGGACATGACTTTATAGAGTATATAGCACATATATGTACATACTTCAAAGGGTGGGAGAAGCTTCCTTCTACCTGTTTCCTACTTTTTTAAAAACGAGTAAGGGAAATCTAATAAGCCAATTGAACCCGTATGGAGCACTCACCCATTTGTCCACATCAAAGTTGAGCAGTCGCGAGGGTCCATCCGCCAGGCCATCGCCCCGCTGATTGCAGAACACACACTGCCTGGTGTCCTCCAGCTGGAGTCCACTAGCCTCCGTCTCCCTTAGCCAAACCGTATTGTTAGCTGACCCGGATCCCGATCCGGATCCGGATCCCGCTCCCGCTTCTCCTCCTCCTGCTCCCTCGAACTCCAGTTTGATGGCCGGCGAATCCGTGGCAAAGCAATCGGCACTGAAGCACTTGACGATGCACTTGCGCTGCACAGGAAGATTGAGACTGTTGCTGGAGTTATTGATAGCGTTGCCCTGCTTCTGGTCATCAGCCTCGTCCTCCGGCGGTTCCTGCTTGACCACCGTCGTCTCCGCCAGCGCCATTGATGAGCTGGTGCCGGAGGCGCTGCTGGGTGAGTCACCCGTGGTGGCGGAGGTCGAGACGGAGCCACCGGCCGGCTGCAGCAACAGACTGGCCGCCTCCGCCTGGCCCTCCTTGCCGCTCCACTTGAATCTGGCAAAGCAGGCGCGATCGCAGAAGTACACAAACGGTGGGGGTGCCGACTTCCTCGGGAGCATGGCCATTAGTTGGGCCAAACGGGGCAGCTGCTCCTCCAGAGCGGGCACACTGTGCCGGGGAATCCGCAAGCCAGTGGCCTGGACCACATTGCCACAGCTGCGGCACAGCTTGCGGCGTCCATTGAGGATCTTCCGCAGATGGCCATAACTTACGGCGGCTGAGGGTCGCTTAAAGTCCTGCTTTTCGTCGTGATCCTGGTCCAGTGACTGCAGCTTCTCCAGCTTGTCGCCCATCTTGTCCTCGATGATCTTGCAGGTGAGGGCAGGTGCCAGGTGCAGCAGATTGGCCAGGTCCCGCAGCACGCCGGCTATATTCTCCGAGGATGAGGCGGGCAGTGCGAGTATCACATTCTGGTTCTTCTGCTGGTAGTTATTGTTGTTCAGGGCTCCCATTCCAGTTCCCATTCCAGTTCCCGTTCCCAGTTCCAACTGCTGTGCCTTGCGCAGCTCCTCGCTGCAGGAGCGAAGCAGCGGCGACACTGGGACCCGCATGGTCAGCGGATCCTCCGGCAGGGCCACCGGCGACATCCGCCCATGGCAACGACTATTCCCATTGAGCAGTATCAATCCCGGATAGCGGGTGATCCGGGGCAGGGCCGCCCACGCAGCCACGCCCTCGCTCTCCACCAGTTCTATGGTCTCCAGATTGCAGTCCTTGACGGCGCCAATGTGTCGCAGCAGGCGCTCGCGCGGATTACGCTCCATGTGCGTGGAGAACTCCTGGTCGTAGAAATCGTTCTGGATGCTGGACATGGGCAGCGCTGCCTTCTCTGTTTCCAGGGACACGGACGCGGGTGAGGGCGAACGGGTGGCAGATCCTCCCATCAATCCTCCACTGCCACCAAAGCGTTCGCTGTCGTATAGCGAGGGAATCCCCGGCAGACGCACCCGTCCAAAGCGACCCAGAATGGCGCCATCACAGTCCTCCAGTCCCTCCAAATGCTTGCTAAGCGGCCAGCCCCGAGATCCACCCAGAGATCCTCCGCCCTTGAGCTTGCCACCACCACCACCTCCTCCTGCTGATGAGGAGGAGGAGGAGGATCCGCTGGCCGAGGATACTGTGCCTCCACTCGAAGCGGCCGCCTCATTGCTGCCGATCAGAAAGTGAAAGTTGCGATTCAGGTGCGGCTCCAGCACCTGGAGCGGCTGCATCTGGCGTATGTGGGTCAGCAGCTTCTCGGTAAATGCATCGTGATCCTCTTCGACCTTGGAGAACTTGCGCACTCGCTTCTTGAGCATGGGCGAGGCACCTGCCCCACCCAGGCTAACGCCTCCTCCTCCTCCTCTCCCTTCTCCTCCTTGTCCACCAGTGCTGGTGATCACATGACCAGTGCCCGGCTGCGATCCCTGGATGTACTGCGTGCCCGGGGCCATGCCGGCCAGCTGGACCATGGCACCTGCTGGTAGCGTACCTGTCAGATCCTTGAGAGCTCCTGCCGGTCCGGCATTCAGATTGGTGCGCCTTGGCTTCTGTACGTCCCGCTTGCGTCGCTTTCTTTGGTCCCCCGCCTTGGGTTCCATGCTGGTGGTGGTGTTGGTGGTGGATGCTACGGGGATGGGTCCTGCTCCTTGTCCAGGCATGGGTATCGGATGAGCCGGAGCCTGCTGCTGCTGCTGATGCTGGGGATGCACTGCCACATGGAGCTGATGCTGCTGCTGCATTTGCAAATGCATCTGCTGGCCGGACATGTGTCCAGCGATTTGTCCAGTCATCTGTCCAGCTAGTTGACCCTGCATGGCCGCCTGCATCTGCGCCTGCATCTGCACCTGGCCCTGGCTTTGGTTCTGACTCTGACTCTGAATCTGACTCTGAATCTGACTCTGAATGGGCTGCTGTGCCTCGCCAGATTTCTTCACATAATTGGCAATGGCCGAAATGAGCTGTACCTTTTCGGGACCAGTTTGTCCGCCGGTGGTTGCAGTTTGTCCGGCTGGCAGGGAGGCACCACTGATGGGCATCGGCATCTCCACCTGTTGCTGCTGCTGCGTCTGGAGCTGGAGCTGCTTCTCGTCCAACTGCGGATGCATGGGCAGCTTGCGTTTCTGGGCCTCGCCCGGCTTAAAAGGTATCTTGGCCTCCACATGATTGCTATTGCTCCATATGGCTGCACCAGTTTGTGATGATAATCCTCCCGCTACGGTTGCTCCTCCCTGTCGTTCCGGTTGATGTGGCGCTGGCTGCTGCTGCTGCTGTTCCGCCTGCTCTGGCTGGGATTCCTCGCCCTGCTCCATGGGCAGCGACATGGCCACCGCCTTGGTGGGCTTCATCTGCAGCAGCTCCTTGGGCGGCACTGGCTGCTTGGTGGATATGGATATGGTCACATTCGAGATGGGAGCGGTGGCCAGTTCGTACGGAGGCGGCGGCAGCAGCTCGCCAGGCTGTTTGACAGTGGCTTCCTGCGGCACTTTAGTGTTGGTCGCCACGATGGGTCCCGAGATAAAGGATGTCTCCTTGGACACTATCTGCACCGTCTGCTTGACTTGGTGGGGTGTCAGTTGGAGCTGTTGCTGTTGCGGAGGAGCCTGTTGCTGTTGCTGTTGCTGCTGCTGCGTAGGAGGAGGAGGTGCTGGTGGCTGTGAGGTGGCCACCACCAACGGCTGCTCCGTCTTCTGCTGCTCCAGCTTGGGTTCAGTTGCGGAGGAGATGGCCACGACTGCTGTGACCGGAGTACCAGTTCGTTCCGAGGCAGTGGTGACCACCACCTGTTGTTGTTGCTGGCCACTGCCTCCGCCACTGGCCACCGTTGTGGTAACGGTGGAGGTGGCCACGGATCCGCCACTACTACTACCGCCCGCCGCTTGGGTGGCCGCTGGCACTGGCGGAATCACTGGACGCGCCAGTTGCGCCTCCAGACTGCTGACCAGTCCCATGCTGGGTGCCCGCACATTGATCACCTTCCTGGCGGAGAGCGGTGCCGTCGAGGGTATGCTAATGGGATTGGCATTGAGCCCGTGGCCGTGGCTGCTGCTGCTGCTGTTCTGGAGCAGCTGCTTCAGCAGGGCATTATTCGAATCCTCCGTGCCCGAGCGTTGAGTGGGCGTGGCCGTGGCCGTGGCCACAGCACTGGCTGGAGCAGTGGGCGTGCTGGGATTGGAGGCAGTTGAGGTAGGAGTAGCAGTGGCCGTGGCCACCTGGTTCTGGTTCTGATTCTGGTTCTGATTCTGCACCTGGCTAATGGGCGTCAATGTGGTATTGGCATTTAAGCGCTTCTCCGGGGTGCCTATCTCCTCGCTCCGCTCCTGCTGTTCGCTTGACGAAGCTCCAGTTCCAGTGCCAGTTGCATCCTTCACGGTCGTCTCCTGTTTGAGCAACACCTTGGCCTTTGGCTCGCCGGCAATCTCCTCCAGCTTGGCCGCTTCGGTGGCCAGACTGACACTGAGTTTGGCTGGCGTGGAGGCGGCCACTGTGGTCAGCTTGAGCTGCATGGATCCCGCCACTGCTGATCCAGAAGTGGCTCTGTCCGCTTTTTCCGCATTCGCATTCGAGTCCTGGACCAAAGCATGATGCATCTGCAGCGCCGACTGGCTGGCCAGCGTGGTGGTAGTGATCATTTTGGGCTTCTGCTGGGCCATCGTCGTCTTCGAGAGCACCAGGGATATGTTCTTGTTCTGAATGGATATGATGGGCCGCGAGCCCATCATCGGACTATTGATGCAGATGGTGCCCGCAGAGACGGAGACGGTGGACTGGGAGGCGGTGGTGGCCAGATCCGAGGAGTTACTGCCCGAGGCCGGCGTCATGGTTAAGGTCACTGGGGTGCACTGGGCTCCACTGCCCACGGAGGAGTTGGTTTGGTTTTGGGTTGCCTGCTGCTTGAAGATATTGAAGCTGGGCGGGCAGTTAAGGGTGGTGCTCTTGTCCAGCGGCTTGATCACCACGCTGTTGATGTTGGCAAACTCGTCGTCCTGGGACTTGCTCTTGTTCAGGATCTTTTGCAGGTTCTCCGTGTAGGTGATCTTCCGAGGCGGAGCATCTTCTTCCTTCGAATGAGATGCTACTGCGCCCGTGGCATCCTGGACCATGGCGTATGTCTGGCTGGGATTGGTGGTGGTGATGGTCACAATGCTGCCAGTGGGCGGGGCCAAGCCACCGCTCGTCACCTGCAGTTGCTGAAGCTGCTGCTGCTGCTGTTGGAGCTGCTGCTGGTGCTGCTGCAGCTGCAGCGACATCTTCTTGCTGACCACTTTGGTGGCCACGATCTTGGTGGTCGCCGGCTTGATCTGCAGCCCCGAGAACGAGACAATGGTGCCCGGGTTCTTGGGCACCCGCTTGATCAGCTTGGTGAAGTTGTGATGGGCATGCGGATGCGTGTGCGGATGCACGTGCTGATGGTGCACCTGCTGAACTGCTCCGCCCGGCTGCAAGGTGGTAACCTGGCCACCCGCCTGCAGCTGCAACTGCTTGCCCTCCACAATCGTGGCTCCGCCGGCGGTGGCCGCCCCACTGGCGCTCATCAGCGGCTTGAGCAGCGGCACCGATATCGTCTTGTTGCCAATGGACACCTTGGCCGTCGTTTGCGTGACCTCCGTCAGCTTCTTGGCGTTCACCACCAGCTGGGTCTTCATCTTGGCGTGCAGATTCACCCGATTGAGCAGCGTGGTGGTGGGCGTTTGGCTGCCCGTGGCCGTCGTGCTGGTGTTGAAGATGTTATAGTTGGTGTGGCCGGGCTGCTTCTGGGTGAGAATCGTGGCGGTGGTGGTTGTGGTGCCCCCGGCTCCGCTGCTGCTGACTCCTGTGGCCCCATTGTTGGTGTTCAGAATGATGGTGGATGTGGTGGTTCCACCCACGGTACTGCTACTGGTACTGCTCTCCGTTGCCCCGGCGGCTGGCATCAGCACGTAGTCGAGGTCCTCCGCCTTGCCGGGATTATGGTCAGCCTGCTGCTCTTGGACCGAGGAGCCGCTGGGCTCAATGGAGATAATGGAGGCGGTGGAGGAGGAGGACGAGGCCGACGAAGAGGCGCCCTCCTTTTTGGTAAAGCTGGCAAAGGCTGTTGTTTGGGGGTGTTCTGGTTGAGTAGACTGTTTCTGGCAAGGAGTTGCTCCACACTTACTCTGCTTGTCCGCATCCTCCGCCTTGATTTCGGTGGCGGTGGAGCCAAAGTTGCACACTATAATCTGCTGGCCGGTGGAGTCACGGGCTTCCCAGGACACATCATCCGATGGATCCGGTGCATCTTTGACCTGCGCCTTACCCCGCTGAAAGAGGAGCTGCTGCGTCGCTTTGGCGGGCAAACTGGACAAACTGGTGGGCGCTCCGAGGAGCAGCTCTGTCTTAGCCTTCTTGCGCGAGGGATCCTCCCCAGCAGCGCTGGCCGATGGGTCATCCACGCCACTGCGCTTCTGCAGGCTGACCGCATTGAAGGCTGCTGCTGCTGCGGCTGCGACCGCGGCGGATGCCACACGTTCGGGTTTCGCCTTTTCGGCGGCACCAAGCGATGTTGTCACCTTCGGTATATTCATAACAAACACACAAGTGGGAGCGCTGCTCGCGGGATGCGATGCGCTGCGTTTCGTGGGACGGGTGGGGCGGCGGTCTAGCTAGCTAGGGCTCGCGCGGCCTGCGTTGTGCATACGGATTGCGAGCGAAAACATGCACGATTTTGTCAAAAAAAAATTTTTATTTTCGTGTATGCAGTACAGTGTGGCCGAGGCGCTGGCTAGCTGGCTCGTTTAAAAATGTCACGGCCACACTGTGCACAATATACCAAAAATACTGCAAATAAACCAGTGAAAAAGGGGGTGTGTAGAGTGGTCCGAAACTTGGATACCGTTGGTTCTGAACCTGGCTATGTAAGTATTCTGGCAACGCTGAGTATTGTTGATGCAACACATTTTTAGCAAAAAGAATTAATAAAATTTAATTAAAACTAAGTGAAAACCTGCAATGCTGGTCCTAAAATCGGTGGGAGAGCTTTTCAAGCAAACCCTTACAGGTAATTGGGGGGTTTCCACACATGACCGCACCGGGATTACAGCATTTCCCTTCCATTTCAGCGGGCAACATAGCAGTTGTCCAAACAGCCGGCCTGAAATACTTTGCTCCGCCCATCAAATACCAAAGTAAGTGGCACCTGCTTCAGCTCCGCAAGATAACTAACCACTGAACCAATGAAATATAGATGTGCAGCAACCAGAGAGACCCAAACTAAGGATCATGGAGCGTCAACCGCAGCTGCCGCCGAACATCCGGCCACCCAAGATGCAGAAACGTTTGCGCTACATGCGCGGCCCGGAGATGTTGCACAACACGCTCCTGCACAAGCAGTACGCGATTGTGGCCACCGGCGGAGGACGCCTGCGATGGGGCCACTACGAGATGATGCGCTTGACCATTGGACGCAAGATGAACGTGGCCACCATGTTCGCCACATGGCGTGTGCCCGCACCCTGGCAACCGATCACCAAGAAGGGTCAGGGGCAGCGCATGGGCGGCGGCAAGGGGGCCATCGACCACTACGTGACCCCCATCAAGGCCGGCCGCGTCATCGTCGAGATCGCCGGCCGGTGCGAGTTCGTCGAGGTGCGGCAGTTCCTGCAGCAGGTAGCCAACCAGCTGCCCTTCCAGGCGGCCGTCGTCTCCCAGGAAATGCTCGACCAGCAGCGGGCCGAAGACGAGGAGCACGAACGCCAGAACGAGAATCCCTTCACCATGAAGTACGTCATCCAGAACAACCTCAGCGGCTGCCATCGGTGGCTCTCGCCCGTAGACCACAAGTGGTTCGGCAGACACCTGTAGGTGTACAAACGCTCCTCTCAGCAAATAAAACTATCCCTGTTAATCTGTTACAAAGCTAGTCGAGCATTAAGCCTTTAATTGGTAAGGGTTCTGTACTTCCATCTCTACCCTTAATCATCCCTGTTTAAGCCCCATTTCGAAGTGGTAGTTTAAATCTATATTGATTTGCTTGTGTTTGTAATTTTGGGTGCCATTTTGGCCATTTTTATGATACAATTTACAAAAGTACACCAAAACTAAGCGTTCCATTGGATAGGGACCATTACCCACCCCAATTTGAAGTGGTAGTCTTAATCGACATTGATCGAATTTAAAATTAAAAAAAAAATTGGTAAAACAGTTTAAAATCTTCGGGCGGAGGCACATTTTTAAAAATAAATTGACAAAGTATTAATTGTTTGCTGAAAAGAGTACACAAATTGCGATTGAAACTGAAGAAGGTTTAGAATCAAGTTTTGGCAGAAAAGCATTGCTAGCCCCAGGAAAATAGTGTCATCAAATCAGTTTTAATATCAGCAAGAACTTGCCTCGTCATTTAGTTTCCATTTTTATTCCCATTTGGACAGCAAATAAAAAGAACGCCATGTAAAGAGAAATGTACGAGTTCTATTGCAAACATTTGTTTAATTTTCCATGTCGTTTATGTGGATAATATGTAATGCATCATATAATATGGTTTTCTTGCCGTTGCGTTGCGTCGTTCGCATTATAATTAATATATAATATTATTTTTTGTTGGGGTCGAATGGAATCCCGACCCTTACCCTTAGCTCGGCTCGTCGTCATTGCATCTCGATCTAGTCTCGTCTAGCAGTCGGTATCGTACCAGGCAGCCAGATTGTTGTTGTCATTGGGTGGCGTCGGCATGGCGTCCAAATCAAAGTTCAATGCACCGGCATCGATCTCGCCGACATCCATGTCCATGGAATAGGGCGATGTGGGTGCGCCGCTGGGCGGAATGGAGCCGATGTTGCCACCGCCAGCTCCGCCCACCGCTCCACCATTGCCGGCAGCACCACCAGCACCGCCGCCGCCCACCGGACTGCTGATCTCCAGACCCTGCATGGAATCTATTGGTAGAGTATCATATCCTGCGGACAAACGAGAACGGGGAAAGAATAATGGGAAGAACTATGATTAGTAAACAGGATTCGTAACGCCTGAATCCAACCAACGGTTGGTGCACCATCTTGGGGTCCTGCACAAGTGGATTCATCGTCTTTCGCTGGAATCGAGCACATATTAAACTATGGGTTTTCCATTACTCGCCAAATATAAACAACAAACGTAAACCGAACGTAATAACCAAGTATTCCTCTCTATATTGTTTTCCTTTGACAATATTATTTTTTAAATTGTTTACCCTAATTCAAACGAAACGTAGATTCCACTCATACACGGCCGTCTTTACACATTAAACTAAAGTATCAATCAACAAAAATCAATCGCTGAAAGCGGCTTAAATATTCTAAACTAAATACGGCACGACAAAGATCTGTTATTTTCGATTGGAATACGTCCTTTCAAATCTGCATGCACACACGTCTTATAAACTAGAGATATATGTACAGGATAAGATACATGAATATAGGTGGTGACTAGGTCTATGCGAATATCGCAGACTACGAGACATGCAAACTGAACCGAACTGAACTAAAGTTGCTTCGTTGATGGCATATTTGAATTGTAAATGCATTCTAATGAAACAAACGGAAGGTATGTGTATGTGTATACAAAAGGATAAATATTCAAAAGTATTAACGAAACATAAATATTGCTTCATCATTCTCGGTCCAATCGATGATTTATCCCGGCTATGTATGCAATTGAATGAAAGAGAGAACGAAACTTTTTGGCGTTGGTAGTATCCTTTCTTCAATTAGTTGAATTTCGTTGTTATTTGCAGTTGATGATTTATAGGTGTTGTTCTTTGTGTGTGTGTGTGGTGCTAAGATCTTCAAACTACGTGTTAAGTCCACAGTGTTTTTCGTTAAAGGCTATCAGGGACAGACACTCGAGAGGGAAAACTGAGAAATGGGGCCAAATATCCGCGAATACTTTTTAATAATATCACATACTTTTTCTTCAAAAACTGTTAAACATAATTGACGCCCAACGTCGCACAATATTTAAATGTATAATATTCATCCCAAAAGCTCTTAATGGGCGTCACGGCCTCCTTGGAAGCCATCAAATTACAAGACACCGATAGTACATCCGAATTGTAACAATTTCTCTAATGTTTTAAGATTTCCCTAGAAATTAATACCTTATGGAAAAATTCCAAGTGGAAAGGGGCGAGGGTATGGTTAAATAACCAAAGAAAACGCACACAAACTAAAGTCATTTACTAATATCCTTAACATGCAGTCGTTGAAATTAAGGGGTAACGTAAATCAGGGGGTTATCGAGCATGGATACAGAGTTTTAAAGAGATCTAGCGATCTAGTGGCACGGGAAAAGGGATTTGGCTCACACTGGAGTACTTGAGATGTGAACTTAACGTTTTAGCTTCGATTATTTAGTGCTTATTTGAATGATGAACAGACACGAAAACGGTTAAATGTATGCGGGGTTTGGGGGGGCGGGGCCCAAGGAGTTATCAAATTGTCTCAACCTGTAAACGTTCCCATTAGTTGAATTTTTTTTTTTGTGGGGCTATGCGGGGATTCTTCTTCTTTGGGGCGGAGGGGGGGTTCGAGGTTCAGGGTCTCTTCTTATGCATATGACATACATACCTTGCTGATGGAATGCGCGACCTCCGTGCGAACTGTGCACGCTGGGCGGACCTTGTCCGTACAGGCCCTCATATGCTTCTTCAGGTCCAAGCATATCCTGTGATCGATCAATTTCGTGTTTGTTTATCGGTTTATCGGTCGGTGTGCGTGTGTGTGTATATGTGCGTGATCGTAAGTGTTTGATGTATTTTTTACAGTTTCGTTTTAATTTATTCGTTGTTGGGATGGATCAGAAGTGAAAAGTTGTTAGGAAAGAAGAAGACACACGCAAACGTCAGTTTGCAAGTGAATGTGAGAGACAGGGTGAGAGAGAAGGGGGAAGGGGGTTGTTGTTGTGGGGGAGCGGGGCGGCAAGAGTGAGGCAGAGAGAGTCGCGTTTATTGATTGTTGTTGGTGAGATTTTGGTGCAGTGATTATCCGTCATTGATTGTTTAGGTTCATTTACCGTTGCAGTTGTGTTTATAGTGAATTTTTGTTTTGGTTTTACACACACAAAGTAAACATAAAGGAAAAAAAGAAAAGAACGAAAAGTAAATAAAGAACGTGAATTAATTACAAAATCATAATTAAACATAAACAAAGTTCGATTTGTCGCAGCGAGTATAACAATTTAAATTCATGTTTCTATGTTTCTGGTTGGGATGTTTTTTGGGGGGATAATTGGAAAGGAGTGAGGGTGGTGGGGTGTGTTTAGGAATTAAATACGATGAGAAATAATCGGAATGGGTATTCGTAATCCATGGTCTTCTACAGCTACCTACTTATCGACTAACATTTACGATCTATCGATTCGTGGGTTACAAGAAAAGCAAATAACGGAACATAAAAATCAAAATCATATTTAAATTCAAAAATAGGTTATCGAAATCGTACGCAAGCGATATATAGGTCGATACTTAATATGGATACCATTTTATAATGCTTGAGACTAGAGTAAGTGTTCTACAAATTTACAATTTTATGTACAGAGCGCGGCGTTCGCTTCTCGCGCGGGATTTCAAATGAGAATCATCAGAACAGAAAACGGGGAAAAACCGCCGAACTCGTATTTCCATAGCCTACTTGGCACGCACCTGCAGATCGGGACCCATGCCCAGGTCGGCATTGGCCCAAATGTTGTTGTCCTCGCGCAGCAACGAGTTGGTCAGCTCAATTGACAGACGCTTCTTGTAGTCCTGCGGCTTGTCCTCGCTCATCCGGAAGAGCACGGCAGCGGCGTATGTGGCCACGCCCTCATTGCGTGAGTGCAGTAGATCGGTCAGCGGCCCGGTGGCGCCCTCCTGCTCAATAATCTCGGCGCCCTCCTTATCGGCGGCCAGCTCACAAAGAACGCCAGCAGCCACACGCTAAAATGATAAACCGTTTAGTATCCGGAGTTCTCTTAAGCAAAAAAAAAAAACACTGTTATCCCACCTGAATATTTTCAATTTCGTTGAACAGCAAACGCACAAAGATCGGTATTACCGATTGCTGGCGAATGAGTGCCCGATTGTGGGACTCACGGGCCAGGATATGTAAGGCCCCCACCGTGCCCTCGACAATCTCTTCCATGCGTACTCCGTCGGCGTAGGCGGACGGCTGCTGTGAGCCCGTGGTGGCAATCGAGGAGCGTTGCTGCAAATGCACACGAACAGTGGGAATCAGTACCAAGACACTTGTTAAGCTTAACAAACCAGCAACTACTCACCCTCTCTGTGTCCTGGAAGGCGCGCATTAACAGGCGCACCAGGTGGTGGATGGCCCCGTGCTCCCGCAACGGGGCATGGTTGGCCGGACAAAGGGCCAAATTGCGTATTAGCCCGATGACGGCCTTGATCAACGGCCAGCGGGATGGTGGATGCAGTAGCTTCACAATCACCGACAGCCCGTAGTTAAGACGCACGGCATTCTGGGCCAGCTCCGAGTCTACGTGACGCGAGGTCAAGTGACGCAGGGCGCAGACGGCCGGCTCGGTGATCTCCTCGCGATCCCCAGCATTGATAATAGTACGGACGAGGGCGTCAACACCGCCCACCTGGCAAACGGTGGCCTTGTTGCGCTGATTGTTGCATGTCAAATTCGAGAGGATGCCGGCGGCACAGGTGACCACGTTGACATCGGTGGAGCCCAGAACCTGGACGAGCGACTGGAGCAGGGCTTCGAGGCCCTCCACCTTGGTGGCCGCATCCGACAGATTGCGGAGCGTCCACAAGCAGTTTTGCACGAGACGCGGCGACATGTTGCCCAAATGCATGGCCAGCGCCTGCATGCCTCCGGCGTCCACGATGGCCGGCTTGTTGCTGGAACAAACGGAGAGCACTTTGAGCACCCGCGAGGTGGT